AGGGTGATAACGATCCCATCGATGTGGGCGAAATCGGCACAAAAATATTGGACCGAGGCTCAGTTATCCCGGTGAAAGTTTTGGGCATTCTGGCGATGATTGATGAGGGTAAATTGATTCTCTTTTTATGTCCTATTTCACCTTTGAATGTGATAAGATGCTATTGGTCTATTTATCAGGGCCTCTATTGGTACCATTAACATCTTGAATCTGATACTTTGGTGAAGAGAAGTTGTCTTATGCTTGGTTTTGTCACGTTAGCGGGAAAAATTATGTCATATATAGGTTTCATGTGTAACGATAAGCCACGTTCTCGTATGGCTGCATATGTTGTGCCTATTTATTTTTTTCTTTGCGGCTGTAGAGAACCCTTTTTGATACGCATCACTTCACTATCTGGTTAGTGTATCTTGATTGTTGATCCGATTGATTCGAGATTCTCTGAGGTTCCTTGTAACGGGCAAATTGAATCGTCCTAATATGCACAAAGGAAGTGCATATTCATCAGATGCCCTGGTCTGTTGTCCGATTCGATGATACACGTGACTTATTGGGGTCTCTGGGGTTCGCCAAACCCCGTCCCGGGGCTAAGTTTAAAAAGTAGGTCTCTCAGCGGGGCTTGGGTTATAGTGAGCTCGGTTCAGTTTCAGCTCCGGTTTTGGTTCTTGACTTTTGGCTGCCCATTTGGATGAAAAATGGAGAAAGGAAAATTGAAAGTAGAGTTGAATGGGAAATGGAGAGTTTCAGTCGACTAATGTTGCAAAGAAATTGAGGGGATAAAAGAATGCCACTGATTATGGCACTCAGCCATATCACTCAATGTCTCTAACCATCGGTTGCGATCATCCCAAGGTCTCCATTCAGGGAGCCCAACAGGACCTGTGTGACCCAGACTCCTGATTAGATGTTTCGTAGCCTCACACCAGGTCTTAGCTTGATCATCCTCGGCTTTATTCCACTCACTACCTGCCTCGGCGAACATCGCTCGCCATGGAAACCCATTTGGTGACATGCGTAACACATGCCCCAATCAACGTAATCTATGTAGGTCGACCATTTGTTTCAGTGGGCGACTCTGCGTCTAACCTCAGCATTGCTCGTCTGGCTGCCCCACCAGATTCGTGCAATGCTGCGTAGACACCGGTGTTCGAACACCGATAGTCTATGTTTATCCTGTTTTCTTAATGACCAAGTTTCTGCACCGTATAGCAGAACTGGTCTAACTGCCGCGGTATACACTCAACCCTTCACAGACAGCCGGATATCGCGACGGTGCCACGGATGTCTCAAGTTGGCAAATGCCGACCGAGCCTTATATATGCATATGTATGTATGTATGAGTTCGGTAACAACGCGAAACCCGTCTACCCAATTGGGCAGCTATAATCATCTGGCCACATTCCCATGAATGCGCACACTTGTTAGCGCCCGGGTTATAGTCAGCTTTTTAAACCAGACTGTTTTGTCCCTTCATTTAACTATGATCGTTTTCGTTTATTCCAACGGATGTGAATATGTATTCACTCAGCGCCCTACACGGTGTTGATTTTGTTTTTTTTGCTTCGTTCATGAAAATCCTTTTGCAAGCACCAACCTACTGCTTAGTTAAAGTACTTGCTTTGTTATACAGTCTGCTACTATATTAAATGCGAGGATTGGAGTAGGGAGTATTTCACGTTATTGACAATACAAATCTCGCGACTTCGCGTTCACTGTTTATCAAACGGTTTACTCCATCTCTCGGATGTATTTTAAATGGAACCCTACTTTTAGCGGTAAGGAGTTTCCACTCGCCGAGAATGAACCTCATGAACCTGCGTGAGATCTTCCACCTGAAATCGGTTCTGAAACCAAAGAAACGGTGCTTTAGGCTCTGTTTATGCGGGACTGGAGGACGAGATGTAATGATTCGATGACGATTAAATGTGGTCTAACTATCCGTCCCATCTCATTCTTACTGAAAGTTTCTCGTGTGTTGCATCAGGGATGTTCCTCTCCATACATATAAGCGCAACTGAAAGAGCTATTTGAGCGGAATTCATACCACTCATTAATTTCGCGTGCCCTCAGTGAGAAGTGTTGCTTCATAACCGGAAACCAGTTTGCCCGTCACTGCATTCTGTTCGTTTGTAATTGGTATTTTTTTAAAATGTTGATTGTGTCATAAACTGTCCGTTCTCTTGCCCGAAGCAAATCAAAAGAATTTCTCATACCGAATATTTTCATTCCAGGTGAAACCGATTGGAAGGTGATCGTAATTAATGCCGCTGATCCCTTAGCAGATAAATTGAACAGTAAGTTCAGTGCACCAAAGATCAGCTTATCTTACATGATTTCTACCTTAGATATTACTGACGTGGATAAACATATGCCCGGCTTTCTCAATGTGAGTTTGTCGAATGTTTCATTTGTTCGGCTTAAACAAAGATCGCATGTTTCATTGGTGTGTACCTTCATCCTGTTTGGAGTGTAAATTTGTTTATTGGAACATGACTAGTGATTCCGTTTTACTTCAGTCAACGTTGTTTATTTTTAATTATTACTACAAGACTCGATTGGTCTAGTTCTCCACCTCTGCAACTTCGGAAGTAATAAAGCAATGGGATCACTTCTGCCATTTGGGCATTTATATCTCACCTGTCGGACACGTC